TTTTTTTCTCGTCTCTCAAGATAAAAAAAAAAAAAAAAAAAAAAAAAAAAACATTTTTTCCCCCCTAATGTCACTTTGCTGCAACGAACGAACGAACTGAAAACAAAACGAAAGTTCGACCGGACTACAGCTAACAAATTTTTCCGAATCCCGAAACGAATTCAATTTCGGACCCGAATCCCAAAAAAACGAAATAATGCAAAATCCGAATTAAAACGAAACAATTTTTTTTTGCCGGTGCACATGTCTACTGAAATCTCAAGATATTGTTGGCAACATAAAATGGTTTTTGCTTACCTATGTAGACGCCAGTATTGCTTCCACTGATACTCTCCATGGAGTAACCAGCATCTTCCAGAGCTCTGTATGTACACTGCAGCAGTAATTTGTGTTGTGGATCCATGCGATCAGACTCCGAATTATGGATTCCAAACAGTTTGTTGTCAAACATATGAATTCTATGATACAGAAACAAGTGTCACGTTAATTGTACTCTACAATTTTAGAGATAGAAATAGTAGACGGCATCTGCCTCCAATTCTTTAAACAAAGGATCCAGCAGTCAAGAAATATGACTCAGACTGGCACTTAGAAGAGAAAATATGAAAGACCTAGAAAAGATCCTCAAAAGTACTGATGTCTTTATAAGTACAACAATTAGAATTGTCTGAGCTATGGTATTTTCTGTCACTCTCCATGGATGTGAAAGCTGGGCAAGAAGAAAAATATAAAAGACTTTGATGTTGACAATCAGGGGCGTAACTAGAAATCACAGGGCCCCATAGCAAAATTTTGTATGGGGCCCCGTGATTGCTAGTTATGCCACTTGCAGAGCCCCAGCGGAGAGTGACCCTGCAGAGCCCACCATAGACTCTCTATAGTGGGCTCTGCAGGGTCTGAGATCTCTTACCTGTCAGCACCTCTGTGGTCGCCGGGCCCCGACTAGTGTTCCGTCCCCGACTCCTGTTCCGTCCCCCGCCTCCTCTGCTATCGACGGGTCCCACCTTCTCTTACATCACTGGCCCCACCTGCTCTTAGGTCGCTGGCCAGTGATGTAAGAGGAGGCGGGCCTCGCCTCCTCCCTTCCAAACACCGCTCTCATCTGCCGCAGCGGCTGGCTGACGGCCCGGAACGCATCAAAAACGCGGCACAACCCACTGCACTACGTGTGCAGAAACCTGACCGGATTTGCTCAGCATTTGGTGTGAACAAGGCCTAAAATAGGGCTTGCCGCAGTTTTTTCACCTGCTCTGGATCTGCACGCTGCGATGTGAACTGGAGCTCAAAATACCATTGGAATACATTGGACGCAGTTTTGATCCGGTCTGCAACTGCTCTGCTCTGGATCTGCTCTGCGCTTGGTGTGAACAAGACCTTAGTCATCAGAGGAGTTACTGAGTTAAAAGAATTGTGAGTCCCCACCAGTAGAACAATACACTGACTCAATGAGCAGGTTGCAGCAGTGATAAGGGACAGACAGCAGGGAGATTTACACATTTACAAAAAAATAAAAAAATATGTTTTTTCTTTTTTTAAATAAACAATTTTTGGTTTAAGTTTTTATTTATTTTATTATTTTTCACTTAACATATTTTTTCACTTACATTTATTAATAGCGTTAGTATCAATGTTCCCCAGGAGCTGCCTGACACCCTTCTCTGAATCAGAGTCCTCTGATTCGGATCTTCTATGAAGGTTCAGACGGGCTCCTGAGCTTCGGTTCACTTGCTTGTAAGCTGACTCAGCAAGTGAATCGAAGATTCGGTTCATGAATCGGTTCTTTTGAATGAACTGATTCAAATGAACCGATTCATTTAAAAGATCCGAACTTCCCATCTCTAAGCGACAGGGCTGAGAGCTTATCTGTTTCCTCGGTCCGTCCATTCGGCCAGTGGTCTTCTGGAGCTCCGCCCACCGCCACTGGGAAGCCATCTCACCTCTCCCATCCACCGCGCGAGGATCCCAATCTGGCTGGGAGGGCGGAGTTGAATCTGGCTGGGAGGGTGGATCGTCAGGGGCAGATGGACGGAGACGTAGTCAGCAACGGCTGGTCCTGCACGCTCCCGCCCGTGAGACGCTCCCTGCACAGTCCTGGTGAGAGGCAGCCTTCACAGGCTACAGCAATGGTGAGAGCTCCGTGGAGACCCTAGAGAGCCCTTGTTACGTACCTTCTGGGAGACCGGATGTGAGAGGAGGCTTCCCTTGCACCTTGTTTCCTGGGAGACTCTGAGGATGGGAACAGAGCCCAGCGGGACAACAAGTGGCAGGAGTGCCAGTGGTGTTGAGCACCGTGCAAG